AACCAGGCTGGGACAGAACTTGCAACCTAGGTACCTGCCCTTGATGGGGAATCGAACCCCCCACTCTTGGGTGCTCAAGTCTGCTCAAACCACGGAGCTGCAGCAGCTCAGGCTAGCTGTGGTTTTAAAATAAATATCTTTTATCATGTTGAAGAAGTTCCCTCCCATTTCTAGTTTTCTGAGTGCTTTATCATGATAAGTTTGCTGGATTTTGTCAAAAGCTTTATCTGCATCAACTAAGATAGTTTTTCCCCTCCTACTGCCAGTATTCTTAGCCACTAGGCCCAACTATCTGTCTATATATATATATATATAGTTATTTAATTTTATAGCCTGCTTTTCATACTTATACCATGAACATCTTTCATCAAAGGTCATTAAAATTATGATTTCCAGTGGTTATTTGTTATATCCTTATATGAAAGTTCTATACTTTATTTCATATTTCTATGTTTTTTCAAATTTTCAATATTTTTCTATATCTCTGTTTCTTTAGGAACAAAATCTCTAGAACTGGAATTATTGGGCCAATGGCTATGAACACTCTTAAATTAAAAAATAAGTAAATAAAACTTCCAATTGATTTGAAAAACTCAGTGTGAGCTTCTACCCGCATAGTGCCTGTTTGTGAAAGTAGTTGATGTGTTCTGGGCGTGTGGCTTCACAACTCCAGACCTCTGAGTTTGCCTTCTATTAATCTCTGAACTTCTTAATCTTTACTGCTACTGAGCAGATCACCTCTCTCCCCCCTTCTCAATATTTATTTTCCCTTTGGTTTCTCGATTTGTGCACTTTCCACACATACTCTAATCTTTTTTATTTTTTCATTTCATCTTCTGAATGAATGACTAAGCCAATAGTCAAACGCAGGAAATTTGAAAACTTACCAGTAAATATTAATAAAGCACTCATGGACATGATTACTTCTCATATTTTATTTAGCTTGGGAAGAAAAGGAATTTGCAATCTTGTCAGTTTTCGCTTTCGTTTCTTTGGTCTTTTTCTTAATCAATACCCATCTGCGTGTTCCGGAGTCGTTTAGGATTACGTGGGAATATAGGGACACAGAAAAATGATTGAACTCACATAAAACTAGTGTAAAACATTATTTTAAAGACTATTAAAGCATTTCTGCCTCTATTCATTTTCGCATTCTACTGGATTTTTTAAAAAGCCACTGTGTTTGAAGCAAAATTTTGCAAGTGGACATCAAGACAGACCCCTGCCCCAATGAAATACACCCCCGCCGCCAGTCCTCCCCCCACACATTGTGGTGTCATCAGGTAAATTTGATTTAAAACCTGATATAATACTAAAAACAAGGAAACAAACAAACAAAAAAGCCCAAGATCATAATATATGTAAGTAAGACACAAACCAGGCTGCCCCTGGTTCGGCTTCCTCCCCGCCCAGGAGCCGCGGAAGGAAAACTACAATTCCCAGAGTGCTTAGAGCGCGCGCCGGGCCTGGAAGCGTGCCGCTGAGTCCGCCCCCTCACTCCGGCGGCGAAGTCCCGTGCATTTGCTCTCCTCCTATTGGTGGGCTCCCCGGAGAGGTCAATTCCAGAGTTCACGCTGCCTCCGCTTGGTCGCCGCTCACGGTTCTCCGCCCGTTACCAAGATGGCGGCAGAAGCAGCTGGTGGGAAGTACAGGAGCACAGTGAGCAAAAGCAAAGACCCCTCGGGGCTGCTCATCTCTGTCATCAGGTGAGGGAGGCAGGAGGCAGGAGGCAGGGTCAGGGCAGCGGGCAGCGGGCAGAGGCTCGATCTCCGCTTTGGCAGGGAGAAGGGTGAGCTGGGTTCCACCCCGCCCACCCCTCCCT